GATAATATAATAATATAATTATAATAATAATAATATAATTATAATATAAATACACACACACATATATATATATATATAAATTTTATACTATTGTATATATATAAATAACAAAAGAATACAAATATTATAAACATTATGTCATAGGATAACGTTACAATATAGCATTATAATAGTATTACATTGGTTAAGTATGAATCGCGCACACACACACAAATACTGTTCTAAACTATAGTCATATTTACTTATTTAATATGTGCACCGTAATGTGTGTGACCGTGGAGTGAATACCTGTGAAGTCGTTTTGAGAGACTTTAGGCACATAATCAAACGAAAGTCCTCTCTGATCATAATTATTGTGAGCGAATGCAGCATGAGATGAAAACAGTCCAGGAGTGTCACTGTACACTGCATCTCTCTGCGACAGACACTGATACTCATAACCTGAAGACTTCCCGAACATTGTCATGCCGTGTCAGAAGAGATCGCTCCCTCCGTGATACATATGACCTTATATTATTGTTATTTTGAGCTCAATCCATGGAGACAGCCAAAAACAAGAAGCACTTCCGCGTTTTGCGACGTAACGTCACGTGCTGAGGGCCAATGCAACGGCGCCCTCTAGAGTACCGGAAGTGACATGCATCATTAAAAAGGATTGCTTCTGCAAATAAAATTGAATTCTGAAAGATTAATAATATATTTTATTTATACGTCCTACAAATATGAGGCATATCTTTCAGCTTTTACAAAAGTGCCCCCTTCAAAAGGGGCATTTGTTAACAATTTATTTTAAACTGATCATTAAACATATTCTAAATAATCTTGCATTATAATGGCCTTGACAGGCAATCTGCATTCTCAACATGATATACATAAACAGGCTGTGCCAAATATCTGAGATTCCAAATAATGGAGATGCATAGCAATATTATAAGTATAAAAACTACAGTAACACAAATAAAAAGAGACATAAAATTACATAATGAGACAAAATAAGCAACCTATGCAAAAGAATAACGTGGCTTACATACATTAGCGCTTTTTTAGCATTCAGGCAGATTCATTGGCATCGTAACTATCATGGCAGTAAAGCAAAGCACCTAAATTCTTGAGGATTTCATTCCTCTAAAAACAGTCTTTGAACATGTCACACAGTAGTTTCTCCATGGGCGTGTTCCCGATGGTTCTCTGGAAGAAGAGTTGCTCGATTCTTTCCGAACTCACAAAGTGAAGGGATGGAAGGAGAAGCAATAGTCTGCCGAACCTAAGGAAAGTGATTCATAAGAATAATTTGCATTAGCGTCCACTCTCAAAAACACAGTTTAACTTCTTTATGCAAATGCATGCTTGTATATTTGCTCACCTGCCGACTTGACTGGGGTAAAGAGTGTGGATATGTTGAGCTAGCAGCACTTGGGACTGATCCTGTAGGTTCTCCACCTGTTCTGGGTCTTTAAGTCCTCGTGTTTCTGTTACAGAATGCAAAGATTACTCACCCAGAACAACATTTATACCCCACTAGCTCAGTTCTTGTAATGTAGGCTATCATTTATGCCCCCTTGTGGCAAGAAGAGGGAAAAACCTACCTGGTTTAAACAAAACAATGGCTTTCAAGCATGCAAACTCAGTCGGATCCACTTGCAGGGGCTTGAAGTGGCTAAATACTTCTTGCAGGACCCTCACATCCGCTGCCGAGGGGCTTCCCTTGCCCTGTCCTGGGGGTGAGAGGTCCGGCAGGGACAGCAGGGGGCAGTTGTCCAGAGGTAGCGACCACTGAACTGCACACAGAAGAAACAGCTCACTCCATGCTTCCTCAAGTAGAATCACCTTAAATCACAAAGAGTGCTGGGTTAAAATTTATGGATCAGTAAATTGAAGTTAGGCAGATTAATCAACAATATTTGCTATTTTGAATGGCACTTGCAGATTATTGTGCCTACCGATTATACCGTATAACTAAAAAAAACTACGTAACTATGTTTCTTTGGCTTGAAATCCCTCTGTTTCTGGATTAACAAATCAGAAAATACTCATCTGGTGGTAGTAGAGTGAGGAATAATAGGCTCTCACCTGGTCTCTGAAAGGTAGATGGGAAAACACCGGCAAGTTCTTTGCCCATTTAACAGACATGAAGAGCAGGCGGGCTGAGGTTTCATATACACTCTCTGGTCCGCGTGAGGGGTAGAGAGCACTGCCGTACTCTGGAGAACTCCTCTCAGGTTCATTACTGGTCACATCGATGTTCTCATCCACTGTAAACACAGTTGAAAAGGCCAGCTTAGACCAGCATAAACTTCCCTGCTGCTCTAGACTAGTACAGTGATGTTGGTCTTGCTGGCAGACTAACTCTGTCTAGCCATGGACTCTGTCCGAAACCTAAGGCACTGTTGCCTCGCTATCTAGTCAGTCAATGACTTATCAGGTAGCATTCTGTGGATTCAGATACCTCATACATATATATATAACTGTACCTTTAGGAGTACAACTTTTATGAGGAAAGTACCCTTAAAAGGACATATTTGTACCTTATATACTTTTAGGGGTATTTAAGGTACAAAGATGTCCCTTAAAGGGTACTTGCCAAGAGATAGTTGTTGTACTCCTAAAGGTACAGTAATATTCTGTGTATGAGGTACACAGTACTTTAGAGTAGTGATATGTACTCTTAAGGTACTAATATGCACCTTTAGGGTCAAATAAGGTACAAAGTTGTCCATTTTAAGGGTACACTCTCAGCTACAAAAGCTGTCACTCTACTGTACATTTTCAAAAGGTACTACATTGCACCTTTTAAGTACTAAAATGCACCATTTAGGTACTAATATGCAGTGTTTGGGGTAGTGCATTACGAGTAACGTGAGTTATGTAATCTGATTACTTTAGTCAAGTAACTAGTAAAGTAATGCATTACTTTTAAATTTACAAGAAAATATCTAAGTTACTTTTTCTAATAAGAAACGCAAGTTACTTTGTTTTCCCATTTATTCACTGACACCTCTCTTGTCCTTTGTTGAGAGAAATCGGGAGTAAGTGCGGAGGCACTTCCTTAAGCCTGAGGCTCATTAATTTCACTTTTGGCATGAAAGAGCCTTTACAATTGCCAAAAATATAACTTTTGTTTTTTTATTTTATTAAAAATAAATAAGGAAGCCCAGCTCAGGTGACAAAAAGTAACACAAAAGTAACGTAATGCATTACTTTCCATAAAAAATAACTATGTTACGCAATTAGTTAATTTAGTATGGCGTAACACAATATTGTAATGCATTACTTTTAAAAGTAACTTCCCCCAACCCTGCTAATATGCACCCTTTAGGGATAAATAAGGTACTATATGGTATAAGGTAAGAGTGTAGAGAGGTTTCAGGCTGCCTTCTATGGCACCATAACATCATAAATACATCTACAACAAATTCAAAGTTCAAAGTGAGCTTTAGGCAAATATTTGATGTATCTTCAGATCTCCAAGGTTTTGGACATAGGCATGGTGTTCACCAACAAAACTTTTCTAGGTTGACCAAGGTGGTGTCATTCCTTACCGTCCTCTGGTTCCAGCTTGGCGCAGGTCTCGGCTGTCATCAGGCTGGCCATGAAGCGATGTCCATTCTTGGGGCTGTTGGAGAGCTGGCTAGTATCTGTGGAGCTGATGCTGGAGCTGATGGAGGAGCCCAGCAGTGGGCGGTTGATCACAGAGCAGGTGGACGAGGAGGTGGGTTCCAGGGTGGTGGTGAGGTGCTCCTTTTCCTTGTCCATATCCAGTGCGTCTAATCTGACTTGAGCGGTGCTGCGGGGCTGACGCTCATTCTGAACAGCTGAGGGGAGATGGACGGAAAGGTTTAGAAAGTGAAGACAATGAGGAAGAAGAGGATGCTTTTAAGAAGTTAACTCACCATCCTTGTTCATGCCAGCTTGAAGGCATTTCTTTAAGCGACAGGCCTGGCACTGATTCCGATGGGCTTTGTCGACGGGACACATGCCTGTACCAGCTTGACATCTGTAAATTTCAGTATCAGGAAGGTTAAGGTAGGTTCTACCTTTAAGCTTCTCTTCTCCCAACTTTGAACACTCTCAGAAAAAAAGGTACAAAAGCTATCACTGGGGAAAAGCTATACCTTTTCAAAAGGTACTAATATGTAAACCTTAGGTAAAAATATGTTCCTTTAAGGTACTACAATGCACCCTTTAGGGGTAAAGAAAGTACAAAGGTGTAGCTCTTGAAAGGGTACCGTCCCATTGACAGCTTTTTTCCGAGAGTGAATATGCAAGGTGTTTTCTCACCTGTAGATGAGTCTGCGCCTCACACTGCGCTTGAAAAAGCCACTGCAACCATTGCAAGCATATATCCCGTAGTGTTTCCCACTGCTGGTGTCAGAACACACTTTACAAAGAAGTCCTGAGTTCAGGATCTTGCCAGGAGCGGGGCTTTTACCTGGGAAAGCATAGGAAACAGGGCGCAATTGCTTATTCAAAATCCAATCATTAGGAGTTGATAATAACAAGACAGCATTTACTTGGCATGCCATACTTGCTAAAGTAAACCTTGCTTGAGAATATAATATTGTATTTTAGGACTTTATTAAATATATTCAAACAGATATTCAAGAATACCAAAAAGTTTGAAGGGTACTTGCTTGCAAGAGTCTTTACCACTACTTGCATGTCCACTACAAGCTAAACTGAAGAAGCAGTTACTCACCATCTTGGCTGTCATCCGTAGAGTTGCTCCTGGAAGACTCTGTTGGTGATGCAAATGGTATCATGGACATTTCTGACATTAGATCCTCCATTCAATGTAGTGAAGAAGTGTACCCTTAGAAGAATTTGGCTTTTGGGGCCAAAATATCTTTCCCAGGTAGGTTGACTGGAATCCTAGAGGGTCTTCCAAGAGATCCGTCCAGTCGTGAGAATTGTGCCAATGTTAGATGTTTCTTCAAAGTCCTTCAGTCTCTATCCTGATGGTCCTTTCTTGACTCTGGGTGTCTCTGACGTCTAGAACTTCTTGTTTGATGCTTTTGTGAAGAGCAGTGAGGTCTGTCACCTCCTCCTGGTGCTGGACAGTGAGTGACTCTGAGGCTACCGTGGGCTCCCTAAAGGAAGACAAAGGGATTAGCAGCAAGCGCTGTGTAAGCAAGTGCCTATTTGTCATCCCCTTAATCTTTACTGTCCATCTAGGGGTGGATCAATCAGTCACACTCAGTAGCATTAGCTCCATTCACAACCAGTGTGGAGAGAATGAACAAACAAAAGGATTGGGGTTGAGTCATAACTCTCCAACTATCTCTCTCTTGTTCTCATCTCTTCTCTTTTGAGGTTTCCCCACAAAACTGCTTGACTTCAAGACTTTGGATAGCATCACACCTCCATAATTGACAGTGGCTAGCTATTGAATGATTATTTTAGCTTTCTTTTTTTTTTATCGGGTGACTTGTATACAAGTGGTTTCTAAGTTTCAGCAATCAATATTGATTTCATGGGTCAACACCTGTTTCTGTTATGATCAGTGATCCATAAGGACATTACTTACTTTTGACTACACATAACACCAGATATGAAGGAATGCTAACATCAATCTATATCTACAATTTTTTATGTGTAACTAAGTCTCTTCATATGAAAATCATATTTCTTTTCGACAGTATAGTGAACATCTGCTAGGGGATTCTTCCCTAAAGTTTTGTAGTATTTCATCATTGTTTAATCCTCAACTGTCCAACAGTAACGATAAAGCAATGCTAATCTGTTCTGGCTCCAGTTAGCCAAATCTGCTGGATTTAAATCTTGTCCTTACTCAAAAAATGATGTCCAGTAATGTGTCCAACAATGATTGACTGTGGCATGTTTACCTATGAGGACAATGAAATTCAAACAACATGCCTATGATGTCATGATGTTTATTCAACATCACTGTTTTAGGTTAAAATTTATATGAAGTTATAAGGGAAAGTATGTTTTATTGCTGATATTGGTCACCTCTTCTAAGTTTATATATATATAATTGTAATCAGTAACAGTTACTGAGAAAAAATGTGTAATTAAATTACAGTTACTTATGAAAAGGTTAATGATTACAAAGGGGGTTCTGAATATTTTCTTACACACACAGACACACGCACGCACGCACACACACACATATATAATTGATTTCTTTCCCAAATTACACTGGCTGCTCTAAAATATGATACGGCAATGTTTAGGTGAGTCTAGGACACAGAATAGGACACATGCTTATTTGATAACTGTTTTATTTCCTATTTGGGATTACGTATATGCTTTATTTTATCAAATTAACTGTTTTTCCAAGGCATTGTTTCCTGTCATAGCTATGCAAAGATTTGATTTCAAAAACAGTATCATAGCTATTAAAACATTTCATGTTGTGATTTTAAATCTGTATTTAACCTAAAAACAATCTCAAAGTAAAAAGAGGCGCTAAAGCCTGATTTTGCAGTGGCTGTGCTGTAAAATTTAATTATTATAATCTTAATTCAAGTGATGAAGGATTTGGAAATACTTACAGTAATCAGTAGAGTATACTGTAGAAAAGTAATCAAATGTAATTTGTTACATTACTTGAATTACATGAATCGAAATATTTACACTATTTATTGCATTTTAAATAGCTTGTAATCTGTATCCAAAGTCACCTTCCCAACACACTGCAGAAATCTGCCCATTTCTCTTCACGAGTCACACTACAGCGGATACATTATTCACCAGATTGTATTTGTATGCATTGCAGACCCAACATCTACTCTCAGATCAACTAATGTGAACTCTCTCTGACTTCCAGAGCACAAACACACATCTCCGTCCGCTCCTGCACCCCACGAGCGTCCACCAGCACCCATTTCAAATCAGCTAAGCGGCTTAACCTACCATAAAACGTGTCCTCTCAAGATAACAAAGACCTCGAATGAAATGAGGGGGAGCAGGGAAAGAAAACAATTAGCCGCTTGTGAGTCTGTGGGAGCCGCGAGGGACCCGACAACGACCATATGGTGGCTGCTCTCTGGATCTAGCTCTGCCTAATTAGTGACCCCAGTGTGATTTACTGGTAATTAGAGGGCTGAAGTCAGTGATTTGCTTTTTTCTTTTGATTTGTGTATCTATCTTATTAAAGTCTTAAGCAGTGCAAGGTCACACACAGAAGCCAGACAGCAACACATGCCATCTTAAACCCGGTTCTCGTGTCTCTATCATTGATCGCTCATGAACCACAATCATGTGACCTTTTAATTGCAAAAAGCTTTGTTTTGATTGAATGCAAAGCAAGCCTTATCTTGAGTCGGTTCTCTAATTGGTTTGTTTAAACTCAACCGATGAATGAGCAGCAGACAGCATGCAGTCTGATGAGGAGATGATCTCTTTGAACCAAGAATCCTCCTTAATGCTCGGCTGGCATTAAACTGGTGTCTTAGTCCCGCTGACAGAGGCCTCTCTGTTGACCTAAACGAGTGTGTAAAAAGATTACGGCCCCTCAAGTAGGCTGGGGTCTTCTTGAGGAGTAGACGGAGCCGTTTGAACTCTGAACTGGAGACTGTAATTCCGTTCTATTGCATGAAGATCTTGAAACGCAGACCTGTGTGAACAAGAATGCCTGTGTATTTGTGATTTGCATATTGTCATATTTGGCATAAGTTAGGTGTGTGCTTGAGTGTGTTTGGCAGGTGTGGGTTGATTTTGATTATAAGAGCAACTGTCTTGGGTGAGTTTCAGCTGAATGAATTGACAGTGTTGCCAAAATCCCACATGTTTACTAGACAGTGCTGTTTTGCGTGCAAATGAAAAATGTTTGACTATGGAATGGTTTGTAATAAAATTTTTACATGGTTCAGAGGTTTTCATTTCTTAAAGAAGAGATTTTACGTTACTGAAGGTAATATTAACAGTACAGTGTTTTGTGAATGTAATGTATTTTGTGAATGTAGTCACAACATAAATGCTTTTGTTAGAGTGACTTGTTTTCACAATACAGCATTGAGAGCGTAGAAAAAAATTAAGTATGTTATTAAATATACAAACATTTAATCTGGGGGTTTCCCTGCTATTTAATTACATAAAACAGAAAACTGATACTAAACATTTTCAAGTGATCCGATTTTTTTTTCTCCACTGGTTCCTCATCTTCACCTTACAAAAGTATAAATAATAAATACATTCTTATTCTTCATAAATAGTGGATGTGAGTGAAATCACTACATAAGATCCCCTGATATACATTAACAGACAAGAAAAAAAAATGAAAAAAGTGCTTTATAAAAAAAGAGAAAGAGACAGATTTTATTTTATTTAAAAAATAAAATATATTTAATATAAAAAAATATAAATATTTTATTTTATTTTATTTTAAAAATAAAATAATAAAATAAAACAAACAAACAACAAATAACAATAAATACAAAACAAAATAAAACTAAAATCAACAATAAAATCAACAAACAATACAATTAACAAACAAACAAACAATAAATAAATAAACTCTGCTACTCCACATAGGACAAGTAATTTGGAAAGCAAAATAAACAAACTAAAACTAAACAAAATTTCGCGACCCTACAAAAGACTAAACTAAAACAAAAAACAAAAGAAAACAAAACACAAAAAACAAAAAAAACTAAACAAAACCAAAAAAATAGGACAAGAGCTTTGGAAAATGGATTAAAAATGCAAAACAAACAAACAATGAAATTGGCCACTCTATAGGACAAGTGATTTGGAAAACAAACAAACAAGCAAACAAAAAATTCACGACCCTACAAAAGACAACTGATTGGAAAAAAAACGAAACGAAACTAAAACAAACAATAAATAAAATAATTTATTAACTAAAAAATATGAGACCCAAGCAATATGGAAAACAAAACAAAACAAAAAATTCATGACCCTACAGAGGACAAGCATTTTGGAAAATGGATGTAAAATAAAATAAAATCAAACAAAATAAAATAAATACTGCAGGCCTAGGACAAGTGATTTGGTAAACAAAACAGCAAACAAAACAGACATATATATAGATATATATAATCCGTTAGTTTTACAAATGTTTCTAATTACAAAACAGTTGAAAAAAAACAATGGGAGGGACGCTTTTCTTTTTGTCTTTGACCTGCTGATCTCGAATGGCAGTGTTAACCTGACCTAAGCATCCACTTCATTGTGTCTTGTTGGTTTGCTTTTATTTGTTTTCAGACAGCGTGTTGCATGAGAGAGCGAGAGCTGAAAACAGGAGTGTCACAACATGTGACTGTGAGCTTCCAGAAGAAAAGCTCGGCGTATGACACATTCCTGCGGATGTCATGCGTGAGTGGCACACCTGAGCTGCGATTATGTAACTAGCAGGTGGCAATAACGCATAATGTCCCTAATGGCTTTTTAGGACAAGACTTGCTTAGATGAGCAGAGCAGAGATTACCATAAAACAGAGATTAGATTGGCCTAAAAATAGCAGGAATATTATACACTATGACTGAAAAGGTTTATCAGTAACCCTCTATACAACCCATATGGGGATTGTAAATAAATAAATAAACATTTCTTTCTTTCTTTCTTTCTTTCTTTCTTTTCTTGCCTTATAAAGTACATTTTAATTTTTGTTATTTTATTTTTTCTAGTTAGCCATAACCCAAAATATAAAACTATTTTTAAAATATAAAAAGTATAACGTATAAAATAAAAAATTATAATATCCTAAAATTACTAATAATACAATAGTTTAAAATTGTAAAATAATTCAGTTAAAATGTATTTATTTTTATTTACTCTTTAATTATTATAAAAAACATTCACATAAACAGCATATATTTTGGCAAGATGATGATGTTTGTTTGTTTGTTATTTTATTTTATTTTAATGCTTCTGTATCGGAAACTATTGTAGTTAGCCATAACAACAACAACAACAACAAAAAAACATTTTAATAATATAAACAATTAGAACTAATATAAAATATGAAAATTATACTAATAATTACTATTAATAAAATAATATAAAATTATAAAATAACTCAAATAAAATTACCTGTAAATCTATAACTTTAAATTAGATATCAGATATTCAGATTATTGCTATTCAGATTAAATCATACTTGTTTAGCTGTGA